GCTGCCATGTGCTCACAACAGCAATGTGAGTGTCCTGTAGTCTCTTTAAGGTTGTGGAAAATAGCCTGAAACTTTTGTATTCAGAGTGCTCGAAGCCCTGCTGCTTTTTGAGTTCCAATGATATCTGCCATGCGTTTCCCAACAGCCTGGCTTTTGTCTGGATTTCTTGATTGCCAGTGAAACCATTTAATCTGCTGTTCTTTTGATCTGGTGAGAATTTTTGTGAAGACAGTGAGTTTCAAGAACAGAGGTAGGTACAGGTTTCTCTGGAAGGCTGTCTGTCAGATTGGAGGGTCCTTCAAAAGATCTCTCAGGCTTCCTATGATCCCATTGCTTTGTATGGAAGTTTCTAAACAGTATTTCATGCCCTCACTGACAAGACATAAGGACTGTAAATTCAATGAGAAAGTGAGTAGACAGCGACGAAGCAGAGGGGATGGCCAGACACGTAGAAGGCTGATCCTTGTGGCACCAGTCATGCCAAAGCAAAGAGATGAGGCCCTAAGACATGTCCTCCTTCCTTGCAATGTGTGTGTCAGGGATGGGAAGGCAATGTGACCTCTGCTTTGTGTGCAGCACATGATGGTGCCAGTGGGGAACTGTTGCATTACATATGAGTCTTTGCGCTTCAAAGGTGACCACCTCAGTTTAATTCACTCCTTCCTGTTGCTAGTCAGTGGGTAGGAATTAAGTGCCCTCTGTCATTCATTTAAGAATCGTTATACTATGCATGCTGTTGAAACGGCTAAGCCACATACGGAATGAAGTACTCCCTGGACTTGGGCTGACAAAGGTTTCTTTATACCATCTATCTTCCTTTGAATCATGCTGTTCCTATCCCAGTGACCATGTGGGGATGGCCTTAGTTCCACCTGTGACAATGAACCCAGTATTTAGAGGGTGCCTTTAAAGGTCTGGATTAGGCCAATGAGAAATATAATCTCTACAGAATTTAGACAGTCTGAATTTAGACAATCATGAGGTGTTTACCTAATAAAGTAGTAGAAAGGAGTGCTTATCACTTTAGATAACAAGTAGTTTGAAATTACTACGCTAGTTTTCAGCTGCACTTCAAAATACTTAATATAGCCTTTTGGGTTGAAATACAATATACATTACTTCTTCAGGGAAGAGTGATTAAGAATACATTTCAAAATTAAGCACGTCAAGTAGAGAGACATTTGCTTTATTTCCCCAGTAGAGTTGCTCTTATTTAGAGCACTCAACCTGCATGGAGAAGTTGGGCACAATGATGATAAAGCGGAAGAATTGAGAGTACACAGACTGCCTTCACTTTAGCACACTCTCAGCTTTCAGCTCACATAATTCAAAGTTTATTTGTGTGTGGTTTTCTTCTGCATGTTTTCTTTAAGGTACTTTTAAATTATAGTGCTTGACAATTGCTGCAATTCTGTCATGCCTTCTCATCCTGTCTGGGCCTTCCAGTCCCAGGTGCTGCAGGACTGATCCCAAATGCTCAGTGCAGGAAGTACTCTGGCATCCTAAACGCCAAGTATTGCATCCACAGGGCATTGCTAGCTGGCACACCCGGCACTCCTGTTCTCTCACTTTAGGCTGGAAGAGGAAAGTACAGTCTGTGGTGCCTGTAAGAGCAGAAAGGGCAGCTGAATGGGCCATTAACTGATTAGAAGGGTTTAATGGGGAAAATCCAGCTGAGTGAAACTCTGTAAGTAACATGAGAAAGAGACCAGGAGGCAGAGTAGAGCCTGGATGGTTTTGCCCTCTGTCTTATCCTTCTTGCTCCTTTCCCCAGTCTGCTGCTCTCAGACAGCTTGCTATTGCCAAGTGGTTCCGGTGTTACCTGGGCCAAAACCTTTGGGATGTTTACTCTTAAGGCTTTCTGAGGACATGGCAGAGAATAGCAGGGGAAGGGTGGTATGGTGACAGCGTTTTGCTGATTATGCTTGTGAGATAAAAGAAGTGGAAAGACTCAACCTTTATCATGGCAAGACTGAATGGAAATCTATGCAACGAAGAAAACTTGCTTCTCTTCACTGAAGCTAAAGGCTTGCAGGAAAACTTTTCCAGAGAAGGTCACAAGAATCTTTTAAAACAGAACGTGGTAAACAATCTAAAGCTCTTTCTAACACAGTTAAATACATAAATAACACTAAACACGTGCAGTCACCGAGCATTACATTCTTCATTCCTGTATATGAGCCAGAACTTTGCAATAAATTAGCATTCCTTAGTTAAAGTAAATGGAACTGACCAGCCTATGTAACTGCAGACAATGTGGCCCCAGGGTCTTTTACACTTTAGTCTAACTTGCCTTGAAGAAGTAGAAGTACAAATGATACTTCCTTGGAAGAGTTGAGTCCCTCAACAAAGGTTGAAGAGTCCTTATAGAAAAAATATTTGCATTTGTACTCTTTACATGCAAATTCTTTAAAACTTTACTGACTCTTACATGTACATACCTTTGAAAAAGAGAATATCCACAATAAGATATACATTACACAATTTCCACAGAGCCATCGTCTTAAATTAAAAAAAAAAGGCCTTGCAAATTACAAACATTCTAAAAATCAAAATAGCCTAGCCAGCTGTTAAAGAAGTGCATACACTCATCAGTACTGAATGCATTACTGCTTTAAACATATATAATTCCAAAGTAATCTCCTTGAAATAAACCCAGCAACAGCCATAAAACATGCTGGACCTGAAATTGAAGACAACGCAACCAGTATTTGTAGTATTAAAACTCTGATAAAATACATTTTAATCACATCTAGTCTTATGACTTCTAAACCAACCTGGAATGCCATTTGGCCTTCATGATCAATGTGTACTTTATCACTGTAAACAGAGCTTCCTGAACATTTCTATATACTCTGCTTTTTGAATCAACATTTAAACAACCAGTATTACCCTTTCTCTCCTTTTATGTTGTACTGGTTGCATGTGGACTCTAAATAAGGTATAAGGTATCAGGATTTTTCATATTTAAGTAGAGAAAAATAATTTAATCTCAGAAAAACACTGGTATTCTGAATGACCTCAGGTATCGGCTTGGTTGACTTGAATGGTGGAATTTGTGTTCTCCTTATCCATCTCAGGAATTAAAGAATTTTATGTGACATGGCTGATGTGTTGATCAATAAAACAACAACAATCATTTACACTGCAAGTTTAGTGCAGTTTCAAAACTCTGCATTAACCAAGTCGGTAGTTGTAGCAGAATCAATAGACAAGGAGTCTTGCTTAGTGGTGTGCATAAATGAAGTATGACTAAACTTTTAACACCCAATGAATACAGATTAAGATGATAAAATCTATATGCAGAATGTATCCTGCAATCCATGCAATGACTGTGTGCTTGAGAGTGCAATGAACAATAAAATGTTAAAAGTATTAAGAAATCCTTACTTTAATTTTCACTCTCTGCTTCATACATTATTTACATTGTGCATTTGCAGTCAGCATTCACTTTATTTTAAGACCTGTTGCAAAGGACCTGGGTAAATTTGCTGCTGTGTGTTCATCTGTCAGTTGAACAGCTTCATGTTACTTTAAGTCTCCCCTCCTATTTTCCTAACCACTCATCCCCATATTTGACACACTTGAATATCCTAACTAGCTCCTTTCTTTACCAGTGAAGTTTCTGATGTGTTGCCACTGCTATAAGAGTCAATCATCTTTAGTTCATGATGCAGATAAAAGGAATTAAATTGGTTTTTTATTAATGGTCTAATATGTTTGTGTTTAAACAACAATTACTCCAACTGGTATTATTTTAATCCAGATGTTTGAATTCAGGACTACACTATAGCTTTGTGAGATAAAGTAAGACAAACATCAAATCATTCTGTTTCTAATCTAATCTGCTGAATCAAACAGTTTCATTAAATCTGCTTTAATTGCTTTATGTTTTTTTCTCAGCTGGGTCAGACTTCCCTAGAGTGTTACATTTTCATTTTATAAAGTTATCTGAATGACCAACAGGATGGCATTTCCTAAATGCAGACCTACATAAATATAATATAGACTGCAATAATGCATATGTTGCATAGTAGAAGCCCCTAATTATACAAAACATTGAATATTCTGAAGAAAATTTATTTTCATTCAAGCATATATGAGTATACCAGATCTATATTTCTCAAACAAACAGAAATTACCAAAAATCTTAGCATCACAATGAAAATAATTGCTAGTTATTCACTATAGGTGGAAAGTCTTCCTACAGTGACAAAAGAATTAACTATTTTTGATGATACATGATTAGCCAAAAGGACAAACATTCTAAACCTCTAAAAAAAAATTCTACACTTCTCTCATCTGCATTTTAATTTATTCAGAATATTGAGCTCATTACTGGTTCTCATTCAAAATATCCTAACCATTCCTCTGTTTTCACTGAAAGGCAGGAATCTTTTATTCTAATCAATGAAAGACTTACACAGTACTGTGTATCTGGCAGTGAAATAAAGCTCTGCAAATTGGAAGTTCATTAACAGGTACTATATAACAATAAAGAATCTGAGCTCCTGGTTTTCCAGGTTGATTTTTTCTTTCTGTTTCTGCTATCATGGTCAATTAAATGTAAATACTTTTTGAATGCTACAGTACATACTTTTTAAATTGGCTAACTTCCTAAGAGTTGATAATCTTAAATCTGTGAAGTAAACAAGAAGAGTGAATAGTAAAGACAGTAGCTCAGCATAAAAAATGTGATATGCCCTTGAACTTATAACACTGCAGTAAGCAATTACCTTAAAGAAGCCACTCACACAACAGAACTATGGCTTTGTTCCTTATCTTCAAAGAACAAGCCACTTGCATCTGGATCAAATCCTTTAAACAATACACGAACACTCAACATCAAAGCACTTTCGTTTTCTTCAGTTATTTAATTTAATTAGAGCTAATACAGACATGAGTTTAGACACTGATTGCTGTGTAGAAAATCCCCAGAAAACATGTTCAAGAAATTAATCAATTTGGTTTTAATTTTATAAAGATTTTTCCCCCAGTACCTGACAGGAGCGCCTCTGCTCTGTGCAGGTTTCAGCAAGACTGTCACGGTGCTGTCAGTTTGATTCAAAGGTGTTTCAAGTTCATACGGTGGCATAGAGGGTGCTAGAATAAGAAAAGAAAAGCGGCAAAAATAATAATTATTCCCGTATTTCTTCTTTCAAGAGCTGTATCTTTATTTGAATAGGTAATTTTAAAGACTTCTTCAAAAATAAAGACCATATTATAGGTCTAAGATGCTTTCCGTTACAACACAAGCATGCAACAACTGTTAATTTAGCAAAAAAAAACCCCAATCAAACAAAGAAATTCCAGCTCACTTCCAATTTCAAGACAGGAAGCAGATACTAGTAGGAGTAAGTTTGCAGAAAGTATTGAGAATCTATGACTTGAAAAGTTATGAATGACTTGAAATGAAAAGTTATCTCAAGAAGAGCATCTATAAATGTGCATGCTGAACTGACTATAGTTTTTGAAACTGAGCCCAGCTGTCTCAGTGTGCCAGTGGTATTAGGATGCACTCGCAGAATTTGTCATTCCTGGAATTTTAACTAGTGCATTTTAACTGTCCTGCGTCTATTGCCCACCACAGACATAATTTACAATAATGAAGCAGGATTATCACCATGAGAGCTTATTTTAGTTTGAAGCCACACTCAATAGCACTTTTGCAAACTGTGTCTTCATTAAGGAATTACAGTTGTGATTAAAACAAACGATGCCTCAGTTATTGTCTTTTACTGTTGCTGCTTTTTTCAGTGCTATCATACAGTCACATTTTTATCATTATATTGGATGGAAGGCTGCTCGGTTAATTGGTTGTTTAGCAGCCTGTTGTATCCTTACTGTCCGGTTGTTAATGATGATACACAACTGAACAATTTAAAGGCTACAGAAGCAAAAAGTAGTCACTGCAATTATCTTTTCTGATCAAAGAAATAATGCAGGGCAGTGAACTTCCCTAAACTAATTCCTGCTTGAAAAAGAAAATACATTTGGTAGGGGAGAAGATCTTTTCTTTAGCAGGTTCTTCCAATAGCTAATTATACTTAATTTTGAATGTGAAGACCTATTTGGCATCTCAATTTGTTTAGCTTCATCTTCCAGCCACTGGATACTTTATGTACCATACTGATGAAGTTAACTCAAAGTATATTATGCTCCACATACAGATAATATCAATTTCTAGGCTCCTCTAGCAAATTAAACAGCTCCAACAATGTAAGTCTTGTCTTTCAAGTGTATTTTCCACTTCTTTTCACCTTCCTAGTAGTAGCTGCATCTACTTGAAAGGTATAAGAACTTCTCTCTCCTTCATCCAGGTTGCCCTACATAGCCAAGTAAGGATTGTATTAACACTTTTGTCCCCAACTCTTCAGTCTGCTGTGAAAACATTAACAACATCTTAATCGCTTTTCATTGATATTCATCAGCTTTGAAATGCTTCACAAACAAAAAAATAATCTTTGAAACCCCCCTTGTAATCTGAGATGGTTTTATTCTATTTGCAATCCTGGATATAAGGCACAAACATTTAGATTAATAATTTTAAGTAATTTGAGTACCCACTTTGAGAAGCCTAAAGGCATAATATTACACAGTTCTCTAAAGATGCAGACACAATTTTCAGATATTTCAGTTTTGAATACCCAGAACTTGTTCACATAATGCCCCATTCTCAAATTGACCATTCTGAAAATAACGGAAGCACAGAGTAACTGCATCTCCAAAAAGCTCTATGAACTCTGAATGTTTTTGGAACACTATTGTCATTTCTTACCCCCGGTCTCCTGCTTACATCTTAACAAGTCTTGTAACCTTCCTAACTTATGACTCCTAGGTCCTCACTTATACTCTTTACTAATCCTAGTCTCCCTCCACCAAAATTGTCTTCTTCTCCAGGATATGTGTTGTGGTTCTCCTAGTCCCATCTTTTAGTCCTGGCTACTTTTTCTCTTCTCCACAGATATGTGGACATTATGTATTCTTACACTTTTTCTTGCCTAGGTTAGGACTCTTTCTCCTCCACGCTGCCCACATGCAAAGAAGGAGCCTATCAATAAACAGAGAAAACAGGAGATGTTCTTCCTTTTCAAAGTTTTTGCAACTGCACAACAGCAGCAGAAAGCTGAGATGAGCTAAACGGTAAGGCCTGTAGAGACTCTGTCTGTGTTGGGCCACACTGAGTTGATGAACACACAGGCAAGGCTTTAAAAGCTTGGAGAACTTAAATCTAATTAGTGAGCATGGCATCTGTGGTGACATTCGCTGCTCAATTCTGTCAAGTTTCCACCGTTTGTGTGCAAACTGTAACATTTACAAATTGCCCAAATCTGGACAGATTTTCAGAGTGATGGCTCAGGCTCAGAGTAATGTCTCTCTTCTTGCTAAATATTTAAACTGCCGTTTGAAAGCACTTCAGTAATGTATCGATCACCAGAATTTTTCATGATGTCAGCCATGTTCCTGAAATGGATGAAATTCTTCTCGGTATGAAAGGCAGTGTACAAAATTTCACCTGTGCAGCTGACTTTTTGCAAAGTTATATGCAACAAAAACCAGTCTTTTAACAGACCACCCATCAATTTTGGTAGTACACACTGCTACATGCTCTGCTTTTGGCAATACGTATTTACATACAGATCACTTCATCCATCACTGCCAATCACGCAACTGTAGAATGAAACATGGTAACTATTTACAGTACAGAAGAGGACTACTCAAACACTTAAGACAGGAAATACGAAGTATCTTATTCAGATGAAAATGCAGTCTGTAGAGTTGTACAAATTAAAATACAAGACTCAGCTCAAAAATTGGTCAGAATGCACTGTTGCCACCTCTTCTGTTCTAAAAAGTAGTGAGACCTTTCATCCATAAATGTTCAGCACTTTTGTTCCACCTGGAACATGGAGAACACTGGCCACATCAAGAGCCTCAAAGCCTTCCAGTGAGACAATGAGAGCACAGGCCAATAGCACTGCAAAGAGGGTACCATCCTCAACAGATAACATTTCAGGTGTGATTTTCCAATGATACTTAGAAATGCACACATTCTGCTTCTATTTTGAATTCATCAAGAGATTGGCTTTAACTATCCATGGACAAGTCATAAACATTCCTTGTTCGTCCAGTAACTAACGTGAAGTAACAAGAGAGTGAAGTGCAGACAAGACAGCCTGCAGGACCTCGCCACATGGTACCTTAGACGTTAGTCTCATTGCTAAGCATGCCTGCAATGTCTGTTCACACTAATGAGTTTTAGTTGGTGACATGTCAAATTTAAGAAAAAACAATTTAAGATCCAGCATTATTCCCAAATACCCAGATTCTCATCCACTCTCAACAGTCTCCTTCCTTCCTCATTCTAGTAAGGGTTGATTCTGTCATCATATCAAGTCTTGCTATGTCAGAAATTGATTTCTGACAGAGGAAGCTTCTGCCTAGTATAGGAAAGGGGATGGAAATGAACCCCGTCTTTACTGATCAGTGTCAATTGTGTTTAGACTTTCTATAAAGAGTAACTTTCTAATTTGAAAATTAACAACTTTTTTTTTTCTCTACAAACACCTGTATTGGCCATAATTTCCACCTAGCATTAAC